ATTGAAGCTGTGACTCCTGTGCAGAGTCCTCTTGCCTCACATAGCAGAGCAAGTCCCAGGTCTCCATTTAACCCTTTCTCTCATCCGATGCTGAGGGGCAGCCCCAACTGCTGCCCTATGTGTTATGGGGATAAAGAGTTGTGTGTGTAAACAGGATTTGGGCTGGACACAATCCTGGAGCACTGGATTACAGTGTTAGTGATGGCTTGGGAGCTTTCCTGTAAAAAACCCAGCCCTTTCAGGGGTTGTGAAACGTAGCTAATTAATAGGATATTTAGGGCTGAGTTTCTATATATTTTCTTTTTTCTTTTTTATTATTATTATTATTATTATTCCTTGAATGCATTTGGGTTTAGAAAAGCCCTGTTCTAGCTTCTCTCATTGTCTTGGTGCCATGCTACGTGTTTTATAGCCCGACCAAAAGTGAATCCCAGGGCGGGCATTGCTCTGCTCAGACAGGCCATTTCCATCTCAGCCTCATTCAGAGAGACCAGAAAACAGATCAGGGGCTGGGAAGGCAGCCGAGGAGCAGCTCCAAAGGGAGGGAAAGCTGATTCATGCAGCCTGATTGTTCTGTGGGCTATAATGTCACTGCGTCTGTGCCCCCTTGTTTGTCTGTCTGCATTTTTACGCTCATACAAAGTGGTTATAAAACCCGAGCTGCTTCCCCACGGCTGTTCTGGGGAGAGCTGGTGTATTTTTGGTGCTTGTGGCTGCACACACAGGGGTTGGTCGATGTGTCAGTGATTTATAGATGTCGCATCACTATTTCTATACCTTTGGTCACAAGCAAAAGCTCAGCTTCGAATAGAAAGTGTCGTGTTCCCAGCAGAGCCCTCAGGTTATCCCTACAGCAGCGTAGGTCTCTTACCCATCCCGGTTTTCTTTGCCTCAAGCAGCCGGCTAAGTGTTAGGATTTGTCCTGGTGTCTCTGGGAATGGCAATGTGGCCCGGCTGGGAAGGCAGGATCAGGCCCTGAGCCCATACACACACATCTTGCAAGCCACCCCTGTGTGTGTGCACGGAATAAGGGAGTGAGGATTTGGCTTTAATTGTTAAGGATTTTTAAGAATTTATGCTGAGAAGTGGCAGAGCCTTTGGGCTGCACGAGCATTGGTGCGTCTGAGCCTGTTGTGTTCAGTGAGGAGGGGATGTTGCCTCTTTCAAAATGTGGCCAAGGCAGCACCTATGAGACAGTCCCTCTCAGAAAGTGCTGCCGGTGCCAGAGCCGGGCAGGGAAGCTGCCCGGGCAGGGAAAGGGAGCTGAGCCCTGGTTCTCTGCATCGCAGTAAGAAATCTGGGGCTCCACAGCTCTAGGGTGCCCATGCCGTCCAGGCTCTGTAAAGGCCTGATCCTGCCATCCTTCCCCACGCCACATACACGTCCAGTCCCTCTGGCAGATTTCCTGGGTGGGGAGGGAAGGGGCTGCAGGGCAGGCGCGGAGTTTGTGCCCCGGGGCAGACTGCGGGTGCACCTTGGCAGGGCCCTGCCGGCTCCTGGGGCTCGGCCAGCGCCGCATAAAGAAGTCACAAAGGATCCTGCGGCGCTGCCCGAGCCCCGCAAGAGGGAATTCCCTCTCGTGGAACAGCTCCACAGCAGGGCACCGGCTTCAGGGGAGTCCTTAATCCCGCAGCACCCCTCGTCCCCGCAGGCAGGGAGCCTGGCCACAGCAGCGTGATCCCAGGAGCAGGGGAAGGCGGAGGGGGCGGACCCGAGGCTGTTTGCATAAAGTTTAAATTTTATTTTGTATTTATTTTACTTTTTTTTTTTTTTTTAATTACTTCTTTTTAAATACGTGGTGTGGCGCGCCCGGCCCCTCGGGAAGTGGTCATGCAGATTTGAGGTAGAAAACCCGGCACAGGAGTGTTCCCAAATGCACCTCTAGGTAGTTTCACCGCAGCCACACGTGGATCAGGCAGCGGACGGGGAGCGGGATCGGGATCGTATTTACAACAGCAAACGAATCAAACCGTTTCAGCTCGGCCTGGGAGGGCAGGAGCCGCCGATCGCTGCTGACAAGGGGAAGGAGCAACGAGTATTGCTAACGGGGGAAGGAGCGAGGGGGGAAATAGTCCCCGACGGGGCGGG